CTACTACTACTACTACTACTACTACTACTACTACGACTACTCTACTACTACTACTACTACTACTACTACTACTACTACTACTACTACTACTACTACTACTACTACTACTACTACTACTACTACTACTACTACTACTACTTACTACTTACTACTACTGCTGCTGCTGCTGCTACTACTACTACTACTACTATTACTACTACTACTACTACTACTACTACTACTACTACTACTACTACTACTACTAGTACTACTACTACTACTACTACTACTACTACTATTACTACTACTGCTACTACTACTACTACTACTACTATACTACTTCTACTACTACTACGATCTACTGTACTAATACATACTACTATACTACTACTACTACTATACTACTATACTACTACTAAATGCTGTACTACGTCAACTCCCTACTATTTTTATACTACTATTCTACTGCTGCTACTACTAATTACTTTTTTCCAATACTACTTTTACTTACAACTACTTTACTACTTACTACTACAACGTCTACTACTACTTGTATGTATTCTTACTATACTACTACTACTACTACTACGACTTCTACCTCTACGACTAAATTCTACTACTACACTATACTATACTATTACTATGCTACTAATTACTACTTCTACTCAGTACGTGTACTAGTAGTAGTAGTTCTACTACTATACTACTACTATTATTACTACTACTACTACTACTACTAGTAGTAGTACTACTACTACTACTACGACTACTACTACTACTACTACTACTACGACTACGAGTACGACTACTACTACTACTACTACTACTACTACTACGACTACTACTACTACTACTACGACTACTACTACGACTACTGCTACGACTACTACTACGACTACGACTACGACTACGACTACTACTACTACTACTACTACTACTACTACTACGACTACTACTATTAGTACGACTACTGCTACTGCTGCTACGACTACTGCTACTACGACTAAGGCTACGGCTACGACTACGTCTACGACTGCAACGACTACTCCTACTCCTACTCTTACGGCGACGACGGCAACGACGACGACTACTACTACTACTACTGCTACTACCCCTGGCGTTCCTCCTCCTCCTCCTCCTGACCCTCCTGGCGTTCCTCCTCCTTCTACCCCTCCTGGCGTTCCTCCTCCTCCTCCTCCTCCTCCTCCTCCTCCTCCGCATTCCTTCTCTTTGCGAGCAACTCCTCCTTGTCGCACCCCCAGACGTGTCGGTAGGGCGGGCTGGACGTGTTTCGCCTGAGACATCCTCACTATGTGTGATCCCGCAGCGTGGAATCTGCAGCATCTCCAATTCTGGAGGGCGAGTCCTTTTCAGCCTGTTTGTTTTATCACCCTAACGCCGTGTCCAATCGTCGTGCAGCTTCAAGGATGAAGGGCGGGCCGTTTTCAACATGTGGCGCTCGCCTTGGCGCCGCGAACAGGTCGTAAGACTCCGCAACAGCTTCGAGGACGGAGGGCGGTTCATGTTCAAACGGTGGCCCTCGCCGCAGCACCGCGCACATTCGCCTTGAAAATGTGGAATAGCCTGAGGTGTGGGTGGCGGTACCTTGTCGAAGTGAGGCGCTCGCCATCGCGCCGTGCACGCTGGCCATACATTCACAACATGTTCACATGTTGTCTGGTTGAAGTCCCGAGAACGGCGCTCCGGTGCGATTTGGGACTGCCAGGACGCAACAGTCATGTTGATCCGCGGTGTTGAGGTCCCAAGAAAGGCGATCTGGCACAATTGAGGATTACACGAGCGCCAGAGTCAAGTTGATTCGCGACGTTGACGCCCCAGGGAGTGCGTTTGGGCACGGTTGATGACTATCAGACTCTTGTCTTCCAGCGGGGCGCGACCCGCAACTAACATATGTTCCTGCAAGGACCTATGAAGAGGGAACTTGGAAGGAGGGCTCCTTGCAACATCGTTGATGCGTCTTGGGCTTGCACTGGTCCTCCTCCTCCTCCTCCTCCCTTTGCGTCAGGCGCTCCTCATTATCCTCTTCCTCCTCCTCCAGTACCCCCCTCCCTGCTGCTGCCACTCCTCGGCTACTCGTAACAGTGACCCTGGGAAAGTGAACCTGAGTGCGCAGCTTCACGGGGGACACGGGGTGGCCATCACGGGGGACGCGGGATGGCCAAACCTGGGTGCGCAAGCCGCTGCTACCGAGTCGCGCTCTGCGATCGGGTGACCTCATTGTGCCCGCACCAAACGTCACTCCAGCGAAAGGTCACTCTTACGTCTAGTCGACCTCCTCCCGCCGCCCACGCCGCTTGCCATCGCTCGGACGTGCATTGCCCGTGCATTTGTCGGTTTTGTGAGTGGTTGTGGCTCGATGATCCAGGATGCTCCTCGATTCTCCTCGCAAAGAAATATGTTGTTTCGAGTGATCCCATCCGAAAACTTTGGCGTTTGATCCAGAAGGTGCGCGCTCATTGTTCTGTCATGGTGTGTCATATTATGCTCTGCGATGCTGGGTTGTGAGGTGTGGTATTATGCTATGCTATGTGTGATCTCTGTCATATAGTATGGTGTTATGTTAGGCTATGATATGTCATGTTATAATATATAATGCAGCGCGATATCGTGTTGTTTTGGCACGGTAAAACTGATATGTGGTGCAATGGTGTGTTATGGTGTGACTTGTTATGTCAAGGTACCTTATGTGATGATACTCAGTGCCATGTTGTAGTGTGATTGCCAGTTCCGATATGGCATACAATGCGTTGGTATGATGTGGTGTGTTATGATATGCCATGACCTGTTATGTGATGTTGTGGAATGCTACGTTCTTGATAGGTTGAAGTATACACTGCTTTGTTATGGTATGCTTGATGTCTCATATTATGGAATGACATGTGCAGTGATGCTATGCTATGGTATGCACTGCTCTGCCGTGGTGTGTTATGTTACGATATGGTCTGTCATGGTATGGTATGTTATGATCGGACATGTTATGCTCAGTGATGTGTCATTCTCTATTATGTGGGTGACCTGGGGATCTGGCGGCCACGGTATGCAGAGTGGGTGGGTCGGCGCGGGGGAGGGCACCCTCAGGGATTACTGGGGCACCTGGGGATCTGGCGGTCGCACTATGCAGAGTGGGCGCACCAGGGATTATCGTGAGCCTGGGGATCTGGGGGCGGGGGGGTGGGGGGGCGGGACCACATGGGATCATCGGGAGCCTGGGGATCTGGCGGCCGCGATATGCAGGGCGGGCGGGCCAGGAGGTTCTGTTCGTAAAACCTAACGACCCAAACCTGTCGGGTGGGAAACCAGACTAGAAGAAGAACAAACTTCATCAACAAACTTTTGGCGCTCCGCGCGGGTTCCTTGGATCTGCGCTGAAACCCGCTCCCTGGAGCGGGACAGGGGCTGCGGCGGAGGCGCCGCCCGGAGGGCCCAGCGCGGATCCAAGAAATCCGCGCGGAGCGCTAACAGTTTATGGGTATGGCGTTTTTTCTTCTTCGGCGGGTGGGGAACACGACGCACACACGTCCGAGCGATGCCAAGGCTGACCGCCCCGCAGCGGAGCTCCCGCCCCCTCCCCGTGGCGTTAGGTCGGGCATGTCCCCCTACAGGCGGACTTGGGTCGAAAGAGTAAAATCAATCAACACATGTTCAAACTTAGCCAACAATACTAAAACAAAAAAACCTCCCCCGCATATTCTTCGCCTATTTTCGAACTCTCCTCCTGTAGAGGGACACGCCCGACTTCACGCTGAGCCCCCGCCCTTCCCCCCCCCAGCACATGCTTGGCCTCCCCAGAACATCTTTGGCCTATGCCTGAACGCTCCTCCTGTCGAGGGACACGCCCGACTTCACGCTGAGCCCCCGCCCCCTCCCCAGCACATGCTTGGCCTCCCCCGTACATCTTTGGCCTATGCTTGAACGCTCCTCCTGTAGAGGGACACGCCCGACTTCACGCTGAGCCCCCGCCCCCTCCCCAGCACATGCTTGGCCCCCCCAGAACATCTTTGGCCTATGCCTGAACGCTCCTCCTGCAGAGGGACACGCCCGACTTCACGCGGAGCCCCCGCCCCCCTCCCCGTGGCCCCTGCCGCCCCTCCCCGCCTCGCGGCCCTGCGCGGGTTCCGCCTCCGGGCTCCCCGCCCCGGGCGCCGGCCCCGCGCCGCCGCCCGGGCAGCGCGCGGTCGCCGCGGGGGCGGTCCTCGGCAAGGCCAGGCGGTCACGGGCCGCGCGCCCGAGAGGAGGCCTTTCTGGGTCTAGGTCGGGCACGTCCTCCTACAAGCGGATCCTGGACGAAAAGTGGCAAGCATGCAAACAACATATTGAAGACGGATATCAAAGAGGATAATCCGAAACTCGTGCCTGGAGTATTCTTTGACTGTTTTCTGGATTTGCCTCCTGTAGAGGGGCATGCCCGACTCAAGTCGAGGTTCGAGGATCGAGGGTTGGACTTCGGCGCTTCCCGCGCTTTTTGGGCTGCAAGGGTGCCTCTCGAGGTTCGTGGCTCGAGGATGGAGCTTCGGCGCGTACTCCGCGTTTCTTGGGGGGCCGTCAGGGGGCTCCGTGTCGCCACGGTTGGATCCGCCTGGAAATGCTTGCTGGGACGCGCTCCCAGGAACAGGTGCTGGGGACCGATCCTCGGCCAAAAACCCCAGACATGCTGGCGTCGTGGCAACAACAAAACCACGACGCGGCAAATTTGTGGCCCTCTTCGGCTTCTGGGGGGCCTTCGCTTGGCCGGCCCCAGGAGCGTCAGGAAAGGGCTCAATATGAAAAGCATGCCCCAGGAGCAGTGGACCAAACAGTCGATGGCCCCTTCTGGTCAAATCATAAGCTGGAACCATCGCGCGCGCTTCGCTGTCAAATCATAAGCGAAAACCATTGATCGCGCGCTTCGCGCGCGCTAACATTCTACTTGCCCTGGGGCCAGGCACACAGCGCGTCAGATGGGCCGTGTCCGGATGCTCGAAGACGTGGCTTAAAAACGCACGCCTTGGCTTCCTCGCGCTGAAAATTGGTATTCTTTGCAGTCCTGGGCCATATGTGGGCAAACTGGCATCTCTCTTCTGGGCAATTTAGACCTCTGGGGCCATCTTGGAGCGACACATTCGCGACATGCAGGAACTCCAGAAAAGGAAAGGAAACGCGTTGGGATCTTTTTTTTGGTTTTGGAATGATGACAGATTTGGCCATCGCAGAGGTCCTGTTTGGACACTCTGGCGGTTTCTTGGGGCCTCGTGCTTTCGCGCGCGAAAGCCGCGATGTCTGCTGCCCCTCAAGGGGGCAATATATCCGCCGAGCAATGACGACCGCAGTGCGCAGAACATACAATCCTGCAAAAGGCCCCGGAATCGGGGGAGCAGCTGACAAGCCGCTCCATACTACAGCCGACCCGCATAATAATGATGCGCGGTGAAGATGCAAAAGGCCTTGGAGGCCATGTTAACGTTTTTTGTTCGAACGAGGTTGGCCAGCGAACACCGCTAAGGATGGGCCGAAAAAAGGCACAGATGCAAGGGTGCCTTTGGGAAGGTTGTCCATCCTTGCTATGCGGGTTGACTGCAGGTTGCGCGCCATACTCGCCCCAGTCCTGCTCGAAGGAGGCAGCCGCAGTGGAGGGGGAGGGCGACGGGAAGGGGGCGAGGAAGGAGGAGGAGGAGGAGGAGGAGGAGGATAAGGAGGAGGAGGAGGAGGAGGAGGAGGAGGAGGAGGAGGAGGAGGAGGAGGAGGAGGAGGAGGAGACGAACGTGAGAGGGGAGAGCCCGCGTCCGCCTAGCCGACGCGGCCAAGCGAGGGGGCGGCGCCTCGGGTGGGCGCGGGAGCACCTGCTGACGCCGTCGTAGTCGGCGCGACCGTGGACGCACACGGCGGCCGCTATATTTCAATCGGGGTTCTTTTTGATTCGGGAGGGGGGTCAGGAGCCAATGGAAATAAACGCAAGGGGGGGCAGGCGGGGGACACGCGTCGGCACAAGCGGGGCTCGGGGGCGAAGGACAAGGGGGAGGAGGGATCGCGCCGCCGGCAGGGGCGCGGCCAGAGACGTCAGGAGCGCTCGACTGGCGGGCGCCAGACAAGATCGGGACAGGCGTGCGAGTCCAAGGCGGGAGGCGGAGGGGCTGGTCATGAGCGGTGGCATACAACGTGGGCGGACGGCACAGATCGACGGGGGGGGGGGGGGGGGGGCGGGGCCGCGCGCGGCGGGAAGGGGCTCGCAGGAGCAGTTGCCCGCGAGCGAAGGGCCAGAGGGGGGGGGGGGGGGGGGGGGGGGGGGGGGGCAAACTGCAGAACAGAAGTGGGGGGGGGAAACAAAGCTGCAGAACAGATACTCTCGTACGAGTGGGAGCATAATAAATGCGATTGGGAGCATTGGCGGGGGGCGGCAGAGGCGGCGGCGAGGAGGCGGGCGAGCTCGCTACTCCCCCTGGGGTCGCACGCGTCTTCGAACCACACGCGGAGGCTGACGACGAAGGGGCAATCGGTGCACTCGTAGAGGCTGGAGTCGACCACGCCACAGGACTACGCAAGTCAATGGGCCGACCCGTGGCAACTGATGTTGGCGGCGTCATTGGGCCACCCGCAGTTGCCGAGGTCGACGGGCTGGCGCCAGAAAGTCCAGCCAGCGGCGACGTGATGCCCGAACGCGACAACGGGACATACGATCTGACGCCAGGGCCAGGACCGCCCGCCACGAGGCGTCATCCAAATCGCGGCGACGTCGAGCCTAACCGCGACACCGGGACTTGCGATCCAACGCCTGGGGCCAGCGGGCCATCGACGAGGCATCCGCAGCATGGCGACGGCGAGCCCGCACGCGACAACGGGACTTGCATTCTAACGCCATCGGTGGGTGACCCCTCGTCCGGCCCATCTGCTAGTGGTGACGGTGAGCCCGAACGCGACAACGGGGCTTGCGGTCTAACGCCACTGCAAGCGCTCGACGAGGAAAGCGACTTGCGCCCAGCAGGTGGCGACGGTGAGCCCGACGCCCTCGACGGGGCTTCCGTTCGAACAGTGGATGTAGAAGATGACGACGACGAGGAACGGCCAGAGCAGCGCGAAGGGAAGTCGCCTCTGCTCGCAACCAGCACATCCACGTACGCACTGCTGAACTCGGGCGTGGCGCAGGGGTCGTCATCGTCGATCACTTCGACGTCGGTGGCGATCTCTGTCGGGGCCGTCGAGGGAGAGGGCGCTGCGGGGGTGGTCCCAGGACTCGGACTCCGCGAACGGCACGGCCCAGTACGCGCCGGGGTCGACGGCGCGGAAGCCATCGGAGTCAGCGGCGGGGTCGCAGAAGCCGTCGAGGAAGAGGGCGACGAGGGCGAAGAGTGGCGCGGAATACGAGGTCGAAGAAAAGGGCGATCCCGAGCAGACAAGCGCCTCGGCCAAGCCACGTTCGCTGACCGCACCCCAGCAAGGGCGCGGGGGGCCAGCGCTTGGGCGGACAACGGCCTGTCCTCAAGGCGTCGGGCAGCGTGGTCTGTGTTATACGCTGCCGTGAGGTAGTGGAACGCCGCAATGGCGGGTTTGAGAAGGCACCATCGAAGCAGCACAGGGAGGGGGGCGGGTCTGGCGAAAGTACGCTGAACAGCACGGTGCAACGGGCGAGCATAGCGGCGCAGGTCATCATCCGCCTGGCACCCGAAGGCGCAGGCTCGCTTCCCCAACGGGTGTAAAATGCGGTGGGAGGCGAGCCAGCCGTCGGCCCATGCGCGGATCGTCGCCCGCGCCCCAGAGCACGGGCAGGATGCCAGCGAAGCAGCGATGCGCTCCCAGGGGAGACCAGGCAAGGCGGCGGCGTGGCGAGAGAGCAGCTTGCTCAAGCGAAGAACCAGCAGCGTCACCAGCGACGACGGCGCGGGCGCCAGAGCGCGGAGGGCAGCATGAACAGCGCGCTGAGGGCGGGGGCGGGCGCCGGCGGGGGAAGCCGGCCCCTCGCGGGCGGCCGCGGCAGCGACGGCGGGCCAGGTCGCAAACCACGAAGGAGAAGACGGCGAAGGCGAGCGCCCCGCAGCCGCCCGCTCCAACATCTCCGCGAAGGCCTCATACTTCCGGAAGCCAGCGTACGGTCGCAACGATGCGTGCATCTCCAGGGTGCGCCACGTGTCATTGATGCACACACCTTCCCGAAGACGTCGCAGGATGTCGGCGTGAATCTGGAGCGCCACCAACGCAGCGCGCGCCAAGCTCGCACAGCCCACGAAGGCCAATCTGGTGACGCGAGGTCGGCCCCAGGATTGGAGCAGCAACCAGCAGGGGAGCGGGAAGGTGCCTAGAGACACGCCGATGGTCTGCGCCAGCGCCGTGAGCTCCTGCTTCCGAACTGAGGGCGGCATGTCGCAGAACTGGGGCAACATCAGAAAGGGTGGCTACGGCACGTGCGCACTGCAGAATGGGCGAGATGCTGGGCGGGGTGGCCCCATGGCCGACGTCTTGAGCCCGAGCGCGCAATTTGGCAACAGGGTCACGCCATTGGCGGTCAATCGTCACAGCAGGGCCCATCCACAGGCCTAGGTACTGGAGCTCAGCCACGACCCCGAACTCGGCCCACGGGGGGGGTCCACATGCGCAGTTGAGCGGCGACTTCGGCCGCGATCTCCACCGAGAAGGGCCCAGATAGGGGGACCAGGAGGCACATGGGCACCTTGAGGTGCAGGTTGGCCAGCAAGGCCGCCACGTTCACCGCGCGGCGCGCGGGGGCCAGGCCCCTCGCGGACCGCGCCGCGCCGCCCACGTCGTCGGCGCAGTCCCGAACATGGCCGCGGCCAGCCCCGCCCTGCTCGCGCGCGAGGTCCACGCGGAAGGCCGCCTTCGAAAGGGCGAATAACGATCCCGAGAGAGCACGCCCTTGGATGATACCACTGCGCAGACAGAAGACCGAGACGAAGTGGGCGAGCGTCGATCCCACCTCCTCCACTGGCCGAGTAGAGGAAGGAGACGAAGGCGAGGAAGAACTCAGGAAGGCCCAGGGACTTAAGGATAACTCCATAAACTGCTGATTCAACGACGGGAAGGCCTGGCCAAAGTCGAGCGAGAACAAGAAGGGGATGTCGAGGGACTGCGTGGGCAGGAGCGACAACTCTCGAGCGTGCGAGTCGAGCTCCAGGATGTCGGCCCCGAAATTACGGCCGCAAGCGAAGCCGCGCTGGCACGGGGGCACGACGCGCGGAAACGCAGCTTGGATGACCCGATTCATCACCGCCGGCAGCCATTTAACATCGGTGTTGCGTAGACCCAACACTAGCTTTGTCAGGCAAGCGGGCACACTCACCATCTCTCAACTCATCGTCAGACACGGCCATAGAAAAGATGTATCGTCGCACAAGAACTGTCGAATAAGGCTTGCCCCTTTTCCGACCCAGTCTAAGGCAGACGTCGGAATGTGCAGGCCAAGCGGCGGGGCTTCCCAAGCAGAGTAAGGTAACCCATCCACGCCAGGGGCAGAATCCTGGGCCGCACGCAGGGCACGACGCAATGAACCCAGGGAGGGCGGCGGGAGGTCCGAGAAGTCGGTCTCGGAGATCCACTGCGGGGCACATGCCTTGGTTGTTTTCATATTCCATCGCTTCTTCGAGAACGCGGGTTTCCAATACTTGGCCCGGGCTGCGAGGCGCTCACTTGGGCCCGCAATCACGTCAGAGTCAGGGGCGCGAACCGGCGTCGACGATATCCGACGCGACAGCGGAGACCAGATACGCGCTTTACGTTCAAACGCTCGCAGTTGCAGACGGGCACCGCGAGCAGAAACGGAAACGCTCAGCCTGGCTTCCACCAGCTGCCGCTGGGCGTCGAGCGCTTCACGCTGGATCTTGGACAACCACTCGGCGAACGAAGGAGGATGTATCATGCAGACCTCGGAGCCAGAGGCGACGACGTGGCCGTGCGCAGCAGGATGGGATTCGAGCGTGCGCCGAGCCAACCTCGCATCCTGTCTCCATACCACACGAGCATTCATCCGAGGGTCCTGCAAGAGCGCGCAGGCACAATCAGGCTTCTCTCTGAACAACGCGCCACGAACTTCGGCAGCAGCAATCCGCATCATATGTCTGTAATGTTCCAGCTGAAAAAGGGGAGACATCCGATCCCACCGGGGAGCTTCCACCAGACCACGCAATCGTCGCACAAAGAAGGGGTCGCGGCGTATGCGACGGGGGGCCAGACGAGCAGAAGCAAGACGAACGGAACGCGAGACGATGGACGCAATGACTGCCGTGAGGTCAGACATTTTTGCGTCTGACACCGCGACCGCCGACCCCGGGGCGGCGGGGAAATCTGCAGCTGGCACACCTGCCAGCCCTGCAGCGAAACGAAGATGCGGTCCAGCACCCGAGCCTTGTCAGAGGCCGCCACGTGGTCGGCCGGTGAAGTGGACAGCGAAACGCTAGCACGGGAGGTCACCCTTCGCGTCGATCTCGCACCCGTTCTCATCGAACCCAACTTCCGTAAGAAATGGCACCAGGCACTTCGACATGGCCTCGAGTGCGGTCGGCCGTTGCGCCGCAACGATGAGGAGCGTGCCATCGAGATCTCCGTCGAATCCTTGCGGCACCTGCGGGGCGGGTTGGGGGCGCTTCTCAGCAGCGGCGGGGTGTCGCCTGAGCTCCTGAAGTTGCGCACGAAGCTGAGCAATCTCATCATCATGTGAAGCCACGAGCCGCTCACAAGCGACAAGCTTCGCGGAGTGATCGTCGGTCTGGGACTGGAGCCTGCGCACGAGCGCGTCCACCTGGGGGCGCAGTGCGTGCTGTACCTGTTGGTCGATCGCCTCGGATTGTCCAGATATTTGGGCCCGAAGTGCATCAATAGAGTTGAGGAGCACAGCATGATTGGCGGCGACCGTCGTACCCAAAGGCTCCGCGACCGAGGCGGTGAACGCCTCCCGCATGCCAGCGAACTCGTCTCTACACAATTGGCGAAAATAGCCATCACGGGTCAAAACATCATCGTCGGCATGCTTACCATCAGCACCAGAGAGATTCTGCGCAGCACGCTTGCGAGGCGGGGCAGGTCCCGCGCCTTTGCCGCCCTTGCCGCGGCCGATGGACTCCTGGGACGGGAAGGTCGGGGCGAGGTCAAGACTCTCCAGCAACGCGGGCGAGATTGATGTCCCGGAGGGACCACCTGTCATGCTGGACGGCCTGAGCGGCGATAGCACTAAGCGTGCAGGGGCCCAACGCCTGCAGTAGAGGTACAAAATGGATGCCAGGCACAGGTGCTTTGCTCGCCGCGGGCTAGCGGTATCCAGTCGTGCCAATGCGGGCTCAGCCCGCGACAGCATGGGGTCTTGAGCCACTTGGCTACGGAGGAGGAAGAGGAGGAGGAGGAGGAGGAGGAGGAGGAGGAGGAAGAGGAGAGCGAGGGGAGAAGGTAAACCTACGAAATACTGCAATGCATCCGCCCACGGCCTTCGACGTCCAGTCATGGCTCATGTGACCTGAAGCCTTGTCAGCCGCAAAGGAGCCAGTGTGTCCACATCTGGAGCCAGAAGTGCAATGCTACAATATACGCGCGCAGCAAGAAAAGGTGTCGTGAGGAGAGGGAGGGGAAGAGCAAGAGCGAAAGACAGCTGGGAACGTCCTGGGGCAGCTTAGGGGCAGCCTGGGGGCCTCCTGGGACCGCCGTGGGGCCTTCTTGGAACTTCTACACAGCACTGGGGGCCTCCTGAAGTAGCCCGTTGGAGGCTCTAGGGGGGGCCCGAAGGGGAGGCGTACCTTAGGGGACCCTGGGTACCCCGTCTGTGCTGCGGCCTGGGACCCCTGGGGTCGGGCGTCCGACGTATGGATGGAAGACGGTGGTGCCAGGAGGCAAGATGGAGGAGGGAGGTGGCAGGACAAGTAGAAGTGGAAGACGGGACGAGGCGGAAGCTAACTCAGGGAACAGTGAGTAGGGAAGAAAGGCGGTGGAGGAAGGAGGCGGACGTAAAAGGAGTATGGAGAATGAGGCGGTCAGAGGGGGGACAGGGGGCTGCAATGTGAAAAGGAGAGGGGCGGGGAGAGGGCAGGGCGGAGGAATGAAGAATGATGGACGAGTCGCAGAGGCGGAGAGGGGGATGGAGCGGGGAGGTGGGCGAATGTACGAGGTAGAGGGCAGGATGCGAGAGAGGGAAGAAGCGTGAGGCAGTAAGAAACTATGGAACGTACACGCCAGGAGTGAGTATGGAATAGGGTTGGATGAAGAAGAGAGCGGCGGCAAGGCGAACGTGAAGGAGGAGGGCGTGTGAAAGAGAGAAGACGCGAAGTGAGAGGGAAAAAGGTGTCGAGGGGCGGGAGGCGCAATGATTAGAGAAGAGGAGCACGGGATGAGGGAAGGAAAGAGGATGAGAAAGAATGATGGGGAGAGTGTCTGTATACGTTCGGGAATGGAGGTGCTTTCGATTTGTGTCTTGGGGGACTCTGGGGACTTACTGGGGTCCGCCAGGATGCTCTGGGGGCCACCTCGGCCCCGAGGGGGATGGGAACGCCGATCGGGGGTCGCATTGTGGGGTCTCTGTTGGGCCGCTTGGGGCCTTGTTGAAACGCTTTTGAGCCGTCTTGGGCGCTCGTTGGGCAGTCTTGGGGCCATCCCGGGTTTCTTGAGGCCATCTTGGGGGCCTCTTCGACGGCATTGGGGCACTCTTGGGGGCCTCTCGGGGCCGCCTGGGACGCTGGTGGGACAAACCACACACCCGAGTCGTATCCGACCCCTTCTCCACGCGAGGCGAATATTTGCACGAACGCTCCCCATACAAAACAACACATCGCCAGATATGCACGATCTGCAATGCCCTCGTCTCCGCCGTGCCTCCAAGGAACGCAGAAACGTGGCGACGGTTGCGCAATTCGCAGCCACCGAGGGAGCAGCGAGGTCCTGCCTGGGTCTGCGTACTCCTCTCAAGAACCCACGAGGATGGCGACGGTTGCACAGTCCGCAGCCTCCCAAGGAGCAACGAAGTCCCGCCTTGGCCCGCATACTCTCCTCATCTCCGCCGTGCCTCCCAGGAGCCGCCGAAGGTGACGACGGCTGCCCAGTTCGCAACCACCCAAGGCGCAGCGAGGTCCTGTCAGGGTCTGCGTGCTCCCCAGCTCCGCCGTGCCTCCCAGGAGTCCACGAACATGGCGACGGGTGTCCAGTTCGCAGCGACCCAGGGAGCGACGAGGTCCCGCCTGGGTCTGCGAACTCACCGACTCCGTCGTGCCTCCCAGGAGGCCGTTAAAGTGGCGGCAGTTGCGGAGTTCGCAGCCGCACTGCATCGCCCCTCCCATGGAGTTGCGGTGGTAGTCCTCGGGCACCCACAACAGAAGCAAATCGAACTCGGCTCGAAGTACATCAAGGCTTGAACTTAATTTTAACGGAGGGGATATGACAAGGTAGTTGAATTGAATGAGCACTGCCTTTGGATTGCCATGATAATCGAAATGGATGTTGGGTGTGAGCTGCCATTGATTGGAAAATGAGCTTGAATCAACTGAACATAAGATTGAATATAATGAGCGTTGAGTTTGCTGCAGCCGATGGCTGCATAGAGTTCGGTGCGAACTTGGGACATGCCTACTTGAATTTGGACCCTCGGATGTGAGCTTGTTCTTGAATTGAGCTGAACTTGATATGAACGCCCTGTCGAAATGGCGTGTCCATCTGGGATTTTCTCCACGATGCCCAGTCTGGCCTCTGAAGAACACCGCACCCTGTCCGAATCTATCTGTTTCTCTATCGCATCGAGAACGGACCGCGGGTGGCAATATGCCGGCAAGATGCACCAACCAAAGCCGGAGTCACGCCAGGGCCAAACTGCAATATGAAAGCCGATACGCCAAACCTTGGCTTGTGCAAAAACTGATGGCAAGATGAACTCGAGGCCCCGTGGTCGAGGTGTGGCCTGGAGACACTGATGGGCCGGCACGCCCAGCGAGGTACTCCAACCTTGAGGCCACGACCTCCGGAGCCGAGAAGCACTGGAGCCAGCCAGTGCCGATACTGCCCTCTTGCCCTGCCATCGAGGGGGACGCTAGATCAGCATCTCCGTCTGCCGTTCGGGGATCTTCTCTCAGAGGGCGAAGAACGGTATAAAATAAACTGATTCGCCGTCGGGGACACCTGCCCCTGGGCGGCTGGAAAATTTATACCCCTACGGTGGACGGCGAACAAAAATTATTGTATGCCGTTCTTCGCCAATTCATTCTCACCCGGGTCAATCCAGGCCCGGGTCAGCAGGAAACCAGAAACTGCAATGCAAGAGAAAAAAAAATGCATCGCAGGTCTTCGCAAACCCGGGTCAGCCAATATGCGCGGCCGCCTCGCGGCCACGAGCGGCTCGCTGACCGGGGTCAGCCAGAGGGGGTCTTCGCGGGATCCTGCGGGATCTGGTGCCCTGGCTGACCCCCGTTTGTGAAGGGGCCCCAGGACACACAAATGAATACACACAAATAAAAAGATTCCCCATATTTTCCCCTATTTTCTGGGTTTTTGTCTTCCCCCCCACTTCCCATATTTTCCCATATTTTCCTGGGAGTCGACGATCAATTGTGTCTGTGTGTTTCTTCCCCTCCTGAGTCTCAAGGCTCCCGGGCCGTTCCAGACGGAGCTGCGCCGGCCGACCTGTCCGAAGCAAAGCAGCATGAATGAGCCACTAATGCCACTCCTCCTCCTCCTCCTCCTCCTCCTCCTCCTCCTCCTCCTCCTCCTCCTCCTCCTCCTCCTCCTCCTCCCTCCTCCCTCCTCCTCCTCCTCCTCCTCCTCCTCCTCCTCCTCCTCCTCCTCCTCCTCCTCCTCCTCCTCCTCCCCGCCATCCCTGCTCGCAGTCAATATCCTGCCGTCGCTTCCATCAGCTTCGCGCAGCAGCGAGGCCGCCTGAGGGCACAGGACCATACAAGAGGGGGAACGTGGCCGGAGGCAGCAGCGGCAGCAGTGCGAGCGACACCAGGACTGGGAAACTGAGGATAACGATCAAGAGGACAAGCGAGCTGAATGAACACAGACAGCAGGTAAAGCTAGATCTCTGAAGACTTCGAAGGACAACATTCGCCGTCGATAATGGAAAACGACATGCGCACAACGTATAACGCGCAAACAATTGTCCGACTTCTTCATCTCGACTGGCTCATCTGACCCAATTTGCCTTGTCGTGTCCATACCCGGACGGCCAAATTGGGGAAACCAGAAAGTACCGATACCTCTACTCCCCGGACCTCTCCTGGGGTGCGTTCTGGCCAGGATCTCAAGGCGAACCCAGCGGCGGCTACGACAGAGGCCCAGGAGGCCGAAAAAGACGAAAACGAGGGAAGGGTAGAGGTATGGGTACTTGTTCCTCCTCCGAGACATGGAAATTATCATCATGACTGACGGCGCACCAACACCAATGGTAAGAACGCGCACAACGCACAGCCGCCGAACACAACCCACAGAGCCGCAGGTGCTGCCGAAGCACACTGGCATGCGGCCCTCCAGCGGGCGAAGACCCCGGCCTGAGGAATTCCTCATCGCTCCTCCCCTTCTCTTCTTCGCTAATGCATTCCATCTGCTCTGGATTTGCTGGACCTTTCACTAGCTTCCAGATGTGCTCATACAGAAGGCGGCCACATTGTGTAAGCGCACTTTTCGTTTGCAGTTCTGCATGCCTCGAGCCACGAGCTGAACAAAGAAGGCAATAGACATGAGAACACCACCGCTTCGAATTCTGAATGAAGACCCCCAAGGAGAGCACACGCGGTCGACTGTGGAGCAGCATCCAGACGTGCAGTCCCCGACCGAGCCCAAACGACAAAAAACGAGGGCGCAGTGGTCAAAGGTCCTGAACCGCGGGGGGCGAGCCGCAAACACAGCCAGATGTGGGCCGATCTGGGGGCCACAGCAAAATCTGATTGGGCTCGACGCGCCGTCGCATGATCGTTCGCGATGGCAACGCACAGGCTGCTGAGAGAACACACCGATAGATCTGTTGAGTCGAGGCTCGTCGCGAGCGAATGGCTATTCCACACACACTTTTTTGATCCGCGGGTCGAGAGCGCACCTCTTCCAGTCGAAGCCAAGCGGGCCGCGCGAAGCTTGAATTAACAAAGAGGAAGGGACAGACAGAGAGGGCTCACGCCAAGGCCTCACAGACAGAAAGGTCGAGAGCGCACCTCTTCCGGTCGAAGCTAAGCGGGCCGCGCACAGCTTTAATTGACAGAGGGGGGAAGGCAGAAGAAGGGGCCTCACGTCAAGGCCGGGAGAGGGCAAAACCCCGGAATCAGGCAGTGCCGAAGACTATGTGCTTGCAAAAGAACGCCTTGCACAGGAACCCGGCAGCGAAGTACCGGAAGAAGCAAAATGCTGTGGTTGGTGGTGCCGTAATATTATATGTATATATATATACATATATATATATATATAAAGGAGTTTGGTATTTTCTTCTGCTCAATTCTTCGACGGCCCAAGACGGCCCAAGAGGCCCCCAACATCGTCCCAAGAGCGCCCAAGAGGCCTCCAAGATGGCCCCATTACAATCAAAGAGGCCCCCAAGAGGATTCCAAGAAGAGCCCAAGACGGCCCAAGATGGCCCCGGAGACGCCGAAGATGGCCTCCAAGACGGCCAAGATGGCCTCCAAGATGCCTCCAAGACGGCCAAGAAGGCCTCCAAGACAGCGAAGATGGCCCTAAATATGCAGCCAAGACGGCCCCAGATGGCCCCAAGATGGCCTTAGACTGCCCAAAAGGGCCGCGAGAGGCCTCCCAAACGGCCCAGGAGCCCTCCAAGACGTCCTCCAGGAAGGCCCGAAAGGGTCAAAATGGCCTCCAGACGACCAAGGTGGCCTCCAAGATGCCTCCAAGGCGGCCAAGATGGCCTCCAAGACGGCGAAGATGGTCCCAAGATGCACCCAAGACTTCCCAAGATGGCCTCGGCATGGCCTAAGACGGCCCAAGCGGGTCATAAGAGGCCTCCAAGACGGCCCAAAGTCCTCCAAGACGTCCTCCAGGAAGGCCCGAAAGGACCAAACCAGTCTTTTTCTTTGAATTATTAAAAGGCTTGGGCATTTGTTTCTTTTCAACTCTCCGACGGCCCAAAACGGTCCAAGAGGCCTCCAACATAGCTCCAAGATCGCCCAAGAGACCTCCAAGATGGCCCCATTACAATCAAAGAAGCCCCCAAGACGGCCCCTAGAAGGCCCCAAGACGACCCAAGAGCCCTGCGAGACGCCTTTCAGACGGGGTCAGATGGGCCAGGAACGCCCTAAGAAGACCAAAGAAGCTCTCAAAGAGCCCCCAGGGGTCCCCAAGAAGCCCAAGGAGGCCTCCCAAGAGGCCTTCAAAAGGTCCTTTGAAAGCACTAAGAGCCCAAGAGTGCCCCAAGAAGCTTTCAAGAGGTTTCCTGCTCCCTCCTGCTGTTTCTCCCCTCTCCTTCTCATCCTCTTTTCCCTTCAAGTGTTCCCCGAAGGTGTCGAGGCAAGACTCGGAGAACACATCGCCCGATGGCTTGGTCAAGCTCCGCCTCCAGCAAAGCCCAAGATGTACCCAAGACTGCCCCACGTCGCGTCTAGATAGCCCAAGACAGCATCGCAGGTCACCCAAGGCGCCCTTAAGACAGCCCGAGACGTCAAGACAAAAAAGTAGCTCACTGCGCCTCAAACAAATCCCAATCTAGCTAGGAAGACCAAGACGGCTCAAATGACGCCAAGATGCCTACAAGACAACCCAATGCGTCACGCATAACATCAGGGCCAAATTTAGCCAAACGTTTGTTCTCTGCTTCTCTCGATGACCAACCGCTTCAACATAAGCATCTCCTGTGTTCCTTCCTTCGTCACTTCGAATCCCCCAAATTCCATTATGTTCCGTCTTTCGATCTTCTGATTCATCATTCGCTGAACGTGGTTCGAATACTTTCCAAACCATCCGTGGAAGAAAAATTGTCTCTAAAGAATTTCCGGATACAACTCTCACATGCTGTAATACGGAGGGTTCCGAACAACTGGCCCCATAAGGAGCTCCACCGAAGGCCACAATGGCACCGCCCTAGTGCGTCTCCCGCACACAATACAACGTTTCGTGGCCCCAGGGGGAGCTCCACCGAAGGTCCCAGTGGCGCAGTTCGCATGCGTTCCCCCCGCCCTGTACAGCGCTTCGTGGCCCCAAGGGGATGTCCACGGATGGCCCCAGTGACGCAGACCGCATGCCCCCCCCACACAGACAGACAGACAGACAGACAGACAGACAGACAGACAGACAGACAGACAGACAGACAGACAGACAGACAGGCAGGCAGGCAGGCAGGCAGGCAGGCAGGCAGGCAGGCAGGCAGGCAGTCAGGACAGACGGACAGACAGACAGACAGACAGACAGGCAGGCAGGCAGACAGGCAGGCAGACAGGCAGACAGACAGACAGGCAGCCAGCCAGCCAGCCAGCCAGCCAGCCAGCCAGACAGACAGACAGACAGACAGGCAGGCAGACAGACAGACAGGCAGGCAGGCAGACAGACAGACAGACAGACACACACACACACACACACACACACACACAAACACACACACACACACACACACACACACACACACACACACACACACACACACACGCGCGCATACAGCGTTTCGTGGCCCCAGAGGGTGCTCCACCGAAGGTCCCAGGTGCGCAGTTCGCATGCGTCCCCCCCGCCCAGTACAGCGCTTCGTGGCCCCAGAGGGGGCTCCGCCGAAGGACTCAGAGGCGCAGTGCGCATGCGTCCCCCCCGGCCAGCACAGCGCTTCGTGGCCCCAGAGGGCGCTCCACTGAAGGTCCCAGCCAGTGGCGCAGTTCGCATGCGTCCCCCACACACACCACACAAACACACACACACACACACGAATACAGCGTTTTGTTGCCTCAGAGGATGCTCCACCGAGGGGCCCAGTGGCGCATGTCGCATGCGTCCCCCTGACCCAGTACAGCGTTTCGTGGCCTTCTAGGGAACTCCACCGAAGGTCCTACTTAGGTGGCGCAGTTCGCATATGTCTCCCCTACCCAGTACAAGGTTTCGTGGCCCAGAGGGAGCTCCTGGAAGGACAATGCCTACAACTGCGATGCTCACGACTGCATACGGTTGGGTTCTTCGCCGGGCTACTGTTTGTGGCACGTCCGTGGCAAAAATTGAAGCTTGCACCGAGACTGCTTCGGCCTGCGCCGGGGGCGTCCACCAGGCGACGGACGTAGGTCCGAAGAGGACGGCCGGCAGACCGCACACCGCGCTGGATGATCGTCCGGGTGCCGGGCGATCTACGCAAAGAGACAGAATTGACGATGCAAAAGAATATTCGACTCAAGGGCGGCCTGTGGGCCGTGTCCAGAACTGCAGCGGTCGAAATGCGGCTAATGTATGAATGCGGGACTCCCTGGATGTTCCTCAGGCGCATCACCTGAAAGAAGTAAGCCAAATACTATCTGGCGCTGAACAAGTTCTTATGCGAAGCTTGCCTCGGCCTCTGAGAATCCACTCTGATCGTTCGGACCCGCAAGCTGACGAAGAGACACGCGGCGAATGCACGACTCCGATGGCGTCGCCGCTTCCGCGTGATCATCTTCACCTAGCAAACCTCCGACAGCAAATCCAGCATGACCAAGGTGCTTGACGTAAATATTCAAATACGGAACGCCAGCCAGAGTACGGCCATGAGTAACTTTCAGCTCCACCTTTCCGAACGTTGCCCACTTCGGCTCGTCGCCGAGCACGCTCTGAGCTTGGAAGCGGAGGCCGCCCGGGCTTTCCCTTGTCACCCACGCCCCTGTGACATTGATCTCTTGGAAATACATGTCTGTGCAGTGTCCACCCACTTGGCTCACCTCAGCCTCGACGCGGAGCATTGCACTCGTGTGCCTCCCACGAGGGATGTTCACCAGAACGTGCTTCCCAGGCTGCATCAACTCGAAGCGCTGACCAAACACATTTTGCAAGTGGGGATCGCCGGTGGCGGCGACGGCCCCGAAAGCGCCAGAAGCGGGAACGGTGGCTGTCGGGCTGGGCGTCGGGTCGAGTGTCGGGCTAGGCGTCGGGCCAGGCGTCGGGTAGGGCGTCGGGCTGGG